AAAAAAAAAAAAAAAAAAAAAAAAAAAAAAAACCTGAAATTTTTTAGCAATAAAAGGCATAAATTTTTTCATTTTTTTTTTGTTACAATAAAATAATTAAATAAAACTTATAACTGCAGAAAAAAAGGCACTTATTTTTTCTATTTCACCCAAAACTTTGAGTAACGCTCAAAAAATGTAATATTTTTGAGCATTGCAAAAGACATCTTTTTAAGATAAAGCCAATTAACAGTTGATTACCTGCAATAACGAACGTAACCAACTTTCATAGATCCGACAACTCTGAAACAGCAAGAAACTATAAAACCAGCAAAATAAACTATCAAACAGCAGAAATCCATTTAAAAAAAACCAAATACTATTGAAAAAAAAGAGCAATCTTGTTTTTCTTTCCCACTTCTTCTTTCAGTTGCTTAATGCATTATTCATCCTTACAGATACGAATCTACAAAATGTACACTACTTCCAATGGTAAAGTATCCAATTTTTAGCAGTATCAATTAACATAACTGTGCCCAAAAAATTCGATCAACCCCTTAACCATCATTCATCTCAAACTTTACCATAACCCTCTTCTTCTTTTTTTTTTTCTTCTCCTTATCCCACCCAAAATATGAATTTTTGTTCTCTGAATTTTTCCAGTGCAGTCATAAAGCTGCTTAATCAAGTAAAAAAAGAATAAACAATAAAAGTAAAAAAAGAATAAAATAAAACTAACCACTTCAAACAATGAACCAACATTAGCGGTAATCAGTAAGAACGATCCTCTCATAATACTAGCTAAGAGACTATACAGATTCGTACATAAGTTCCAAGAAATAATATTAGGCTTACCAGCAGCAGCAATAATAATAATAACAATAATAGTAATAGCAAAAATTAATATTATTTTTTATTAATTTTATTAATAATGTTAGCAGTTTATATATCTGAAAGTAAAATATCAGTTTAAAAATTGCGGAAAAAAACAGAAAAAGAAAGACCCCTATTTTTCTACCCCCTTCCCCATCTACTTTTATTTTTTCGCTCTTCCACTCGTTTAGATTCTCAAAAAACAGTATACAGCGAAAAAAAATAAATAATTAAATGAACGTTATATTTGTTGTAGTTTCTCGTTCATTTGATTAAATAATAAAAAACGAAAACAAAACCAATTCTAATTAAAATTTTCAGACAGTCTTTACAAAGTTCAACTGATACGTTTCGAATACGTTTTTGCCCGTGTGTGCCTCACTATATATATATATATATATATATATA